GATGAAAAAAAAATTGGCCACGCAACATTACTTACTCATCATTCATTATACATTTGGATTTGGAAGTGGAAAATTTTGTTGACTCTTCCATGGGATAACTCTTATCAGTGACTCACTCCCAAACTCCTCGAGATGATGATATCTCCGCATAATTTAGTGAATCTCCAGTTATTCTGTCAGCACATTCTAATTCATCATCTATCGGAGTTCACTGAACTTCTATTTCAGTATCTAATCAGTTACTGCACTGGCCAGGAAAAAAAATGCGTAATCCTGCGTGGATGAGCAATTTATGACAATGGGTTATTACGTGGAACGTAAGTGTATACTCTTTTCGTTAAAAGTTTATCGTTTGAGAGGGCATATATCTCTCAAGCAACGAAACTCCGGCATTGATAGCCATGAGCACAGAGCATAAATGTCAACGACCTGATGATATCAACACGGACCTACCTGACGCCAGTTTTGAGATACATGAGCTCAAATCATCAGTAATTTTCCTATTGAATAAATCGTTAAGTCAGAGTTGTGTATTGAATGAATTTATTTGTTGAGTCAATAGCGAATACTGGTGAATAAACATGCCACATCGAAGGAATTGATTCAATATTTGATAATTGAAAAGCATTGAAGATGTAACTGACATCTCCTGGGAGATGGTCATGCAGTGATAGAAGAATTCATTCATTGTGAACTTTTGATGCACCCAGAGTCGAATAATTGGACCTGACAAATTCTACTTAGGTCTTTCCGTTCAGAACTGGATAGGTCTTGGGAAGCCTCTTCCCAAGTGCTTCCGAGACCTTTGTACCTCTGGTTATGTCCCAATTCAGCACTTGTTAGGTGTAAGCAGGACTTGCATTCGGACTTTCCAAATCCTTGCAGGTCCCCGTAATTCTATGAGCCTATATTAAATCTGCGTTCATATCACTGTTTACTCATGCGTTATTGAAATAGAAAATGCAATTATTGTAAGCAATAATGCAATTGTTGTTAGCGGCGAAGGTTGCAGAATCTATTCTAGCCACTCTTGCCCCTCCGCTTGCATGCATTGTCCAAATAAAAAATGAAAGTGTTAACAAATCTGACCCTTGTTCCAAGTAAAAACCAAAAATCTGACCCTGTGGCCCCCGGTGAAAATTTTTTTTTCAGTTTTCACTTTTTCCACATACTTTGAGAGTTCTGAATAGCCCGTCGCTTAAATAGTTGGAATCAACGTTCACCCGGCTAAAAAATTCGATTTTGGCGAAAATCCACTTGCTCCGGAAAACCCGAAAATCTGACCCTTTGGCTGGGGCAAAACAAAACGGTTTCTCAGTTTTCACTTTTTCCACATACTTTTGATAGTTCTGACTAGCCCGGCGCTTAAATAGTTGGAATCAACGTTCACCCGGCTGAAAAATTAGATTTTGGCGAAAATCCACTTGCCCCGGAAAACCCGAAAATCTGACCCTTTGGCTGGGGCCAAAAAAAACGGTTTCTCAGTTTTCACTTTTTCCACATACTTTTGATAGTTCTGACTAGCCCGGCGCTTGAATATTTGGAATCAATTACACGGAGACAATTATTTGGGGAATTTCAACAGCTAGTTGGTAAATTGTCTCCGTGTACACACACACGTACGGATGAGGTCTAAAAATTGCATTTTCGGACTTTTTGGATCATACTGGGTCCGTATGACACAAAAAATTCAAAACTTAAAATTGAACAATTACAAAACATCCATTCGAAAGCAAAAATCCGGTGTTAACGTCTCCATTGTGAGGGGTTAAATATTTCGCTTTCACGTGCTGAAAAAGACCTAAAAAGGCTGAATAGGATCTAAAAAAGGTAATTTTTTAGATCTTATTCAGCAATAAAGTAATTTTCCTCCAACTTTTTTCTCCATGCACCAGCCGTGACAGATTACTGTGATTCCTGTGTGAAAGAAATGTTCATAACGTGGAGTCGTGACTTTTTCTACTAGTCTGACAAAGCGCTTTTGCGCGCTTTCATAACGTACAAATTAGAAACTCACTTATGAGTGTGACATCATTGAAGATATTTCGATGTAAAATCATTTCATGACGAATAGTTGACTGAGTAACGTCACGTTTAGTAAATTTTCTCGCTGACTTGCGAAATTTACTGAACTTGAGGACAATTTGTGTCCAAACTATTGTATTTCCCATTTATGCCATCAAAAATTATCCCATGAACGTGAGTAATATTGATTTTAGAGATAATTTTTATCCAACTCTTCTCTCCGTGTCCTCAGTGCATTAACTATTAAAAAATGAAAACTGAAAGACGAATGACGAAAACGAATGCTCCGCCATTCATCACCGCACTGAGAGAAAAATATAATTCTTCTGACTATATTCCATCACCATCGAATTATAGTCAAAAAGTCCTCAACAATTTTTCATGGGTTACGGTAACTATAGCCGGAGAAGTAATTACTACAATGGAATGTAGTCATTGCCACTATTTTATAGTTCTCCTCACGATAGATTTGTCGTGGTTACTTTTGAACTTTGGTTAGTTTAACTGTATTTTGATCTGCAAAAATTACGCTTGTGAAGTTACTATAATGTTATGTGCCGCATACAAAAAAAATCGTATCGTTCACCAAAATGCCTCAACTATTTTCTTATTTTGAATCGAACTTCAGATTTCCCTCTCAGTGTGCTCAAATGAGAATGAATAAACAAGTAAAAATTGTCAATGAGGTGCCCGAAGGAAATTGATGAGGAAAAAATTCTCTAAACGATATCCCCACTTGCGTATAATTTAGTGCCTTCATTAACTGCCGTAGAATATTCTCCTCAAATACCTACTCACCTCAATAAAAACAATTCCGGCTATTGCGCAACGTACGGCCCGTTCATTGATCGTCATCGCATATGTAGCTACTGAAATCCCCGGAAGAATTAGTGAAACGTGTTTTCACCTTCATGTACTTGGGCCTTCGAGATCATTAGAATTTTTGAGCGCGTTCATAACCCCGAGGTCGTCATTAGCCTTCCTGCAGGCCTTGACATGAGCAACCAAGTAAATAAGCGGAAGAAAATATTACATTTTTTAATATGAGAAGATCGTATTTTCGCCGGGGAACATCTGAACAACACAGCACCAAATCAAGCCTACGTGAAGTAATAGATTTCATCATTAGGTGAATGAAGTATTTTCTGACGAATGTAAATTTATAATCCGAGCCAAAAGGCAAAAATTATAATTACCACACGGAGATAATAGTAAAGATTACTATGTCGGAATTCGCGCATTGTAAATGTTGCCACGGTTTTATAAGTATTATTGTGGACATGGTAATGGCTACCTTGGAACATCATAATGGTTACTATAGGGCATAGTAAGCTCCTCAATGGTAATAGGTACTATGGACATAGCAATAATTACTATGTTAACATAGTAAAGCTATACTACTTTAACATACTGTAAAATGACATACTGTAAAAAAAAATTTTTGTTTTAATTTAATTCCTGAAATTTTTCTTGTGTTCAAGCTCCACTGAAATGTCAGGAAATTTTGTCATTGAAAAATCAAATATTCCCCCGAGTCGAATAATTAGACCTGACAAGTTCTACTTAGGTCTTCCCGTTCAGAACTGGATAGGTCTTGGGAACCCTCTTACCAAATGCTTCCGAGATCTTTCTATACAATTATTCTTTTTTTTGTTTGAATCTCGAAAATCGACATTTCACGAGAGGGTGGAGGGGAGACGCATGTATGCGGATCACCGTTCACCCGGCTAAAAAATTCGATTTTGGCGAAAGTCGACTTTCCTCCTGGGAAAACGGAAAATCTGACCCTTTGAAAATCTTAAAAAAAAAACTTTTTCGATTTTCACTTTTTCCACATAATTTTGAGAGTTCTGAATAGCCCGTCGCTTAAATAGTTGAAATCAACGCTCACCCGGCTAAAACATTCCATTTTGGCGAAAGTCGACTTTCCTCCTGGAGAAATCCAAGATCTGACACTTTGACCCTCGTGACCCTTGTGACCCTTTGACCGACTTTCCCTCTGGAAAAATCCTAGATCTGACACTTCGGCCCCCGGTGAAAAATTTTTTTTTTCAATTTTCACTTTTTCCACATACTTTTGAGAGTTCTAAATAGCCCGTCGTTTAAATAGTTGGAATCAACGTTCACCCGGCTAAAAAATTCGATTCTGGCGAAAGTCGACTTTCCCCCTGGGAAAACGGAAAATCTGACCCTTTGGCTCCGAGTGAAAAACATTTTTCTTCAGTTTTCACTTTTTCCACTTCCTTTTGATGGTTCTGCATAGCCCGTCGCTCAAATTATTGAAATCAATGTTCACATGGCATCTCACAAATGGCATCTCAGTGTGAGATATTTTTTCTTGTCAATTTTCGAGTCATTAATTTCTTGATACAAGTAAAAATTTACTGCTCAACTAACTTTTTTCTCCGTGTAATGTGAGTACCATCAATTCATGGAAGAAATTTGATACATATCGTGTATCATAATCCTGCTATTTTCCCAAACTTTCCCGCTGTGCATAAGCTCAAATTCAGCCACTCACTCTTTCAAAAATCAGGACAAATCAACTGTGCTGGCACCGAGAATTTAGCCATGAAATACAGGTACAATTTTCGCTAAATAACGAGAAAAATCCCTGTTTTTTTTCGGTCCATTAACATTGCCCCATTTAACCGTGTTCCACAGTAATTATGGCTACGCTTATTTCCCTGTGCAACTACACTGATAGAAAGATTTAGCTGCTGTTAACGAGGCTGTTTAACTGTTACCATGATTCGTTAACAATTAACAAATAGTGGTAATAGTTAAGAAGCCTCGTCAACAACAACTAAATTATTCCACCTTTTCTATCAGTGTAAACTATCTCTGAAATTTCATTTCAACAAAATACAAGTGCGAAAAAATTACTCGAACAATTCGCGCAAATCCTCCTGACATTCATTCGCCACTTGCAATTGCGATCTACAAGTGAATAAATTCTCCTGCTTTACTTGCAGGTAGCACCAGCGAAAATGAAGGACGAAGTAGAGGAGGATGACTCCGGGGCATCCATAGCGAGTACCTCTACACTGGGTACCTACAGATCGGTTGCCTCTATATCGGGTACCTCTACATCGGGTGTCTCATCGGGTGCTTCTACACCGGGTGCCTCTGCATGGGCTCCCTCTACATGGGGTCCCTGTGCATCTGGCGCCTCTACATCGGGTACCTCGCCATGGGATCCCTCTACATCGGCTCCCTCTACATCGGGTGTCTCTGCATGGGAGCCCTGTACACCGGGTCAAACTACATCAGGTGCATCTACATCGGGTGTCCCTACATGGGAGCCCTGCGAATGGGATCCCTCTACATCGGATCCTTCTACATCAGGTGCATCTATATCGGATGCATCTACATCGCGTGCCTCAACGTCGCGTGCCTCTATATCGGGTACCTCAACATCGGGAACCTCAAAAAAACCAATCAAGCCTTATAAGTAAGTAACCCAAACAAGCCCAATTCAACAATAAAAAATTGATAGTTGAAGAAAAATCGTCGCGTTATCAGACACCGCTGAAAATTGAGAAAAAAATACTGTTAGACCGCTAGGAGGCGGCGTCTGCTTCGCGAGAAAGACAGACGAATGTGACGGTGGGGGTAGGCAGCAGCCACCAGTTTGCGGCCAACCGTCGTCTGAATCGTGTCTCAACAGTTATCTCTCATAATTGTATTTTTAACCCGTTTTGGCATTGTGATTTTTTCCTACCGCGAGAAAATTGAAAATTCATCTCCACCATTACCGGAGTACAATCCCCAATCAATGGAAAATTTACCCCTTGAGTTTTCCATATTTTCACAAATTAGTTTACAAGTTTCAAAGGGGATTAATGAGTGTTAGTGGTGTTTATAGTAGAAGTTTTTAATTACTGTGCGTCCCCCACTATCATGATAATTTCCAGGGCAAAAAGGGGTGGACGTACGACCCGGCATATAGTGGCTTCCGCAATTTTCCAAGCTGCGCAGTTCACTCGTAATGTGTTGAACGTTGTCAAGGTCAAGAATCCGGATCGCCGGTTATAGACAGTGGAAGGCGATATACGATTGTTTTTCTGTTTGTTTAAAACGAGGAAGACATTAAGCTATCAAATCGCATTACTACTGCTCACCGCGATCTCAAATTCCTGTTCTTTTTATTTTTCTCTCTATATTTCATGAATTTATTCAGTTGAGTGACGGTGTGTGTGTGTGTGTGTATTTGTGCGATTATTTTTTACTCAAATAAAGGAACTTGGAGCAATGGTTATTCAAGTATACATGTGAAGTGAAAGATTTAAAAAAAGATACATTTAAGAAGAAATAACGAGGCTAAGAGAATATCTTGAGCTGAGGAGTGTGGGGTGACGTAGTGAAAGAGTGGTCCAAAAATTGTCGGCAAAGTGACAAGCCGGCCGGCCGTTACTAAATATTCCAGCGTGTCTCCCTCTACTCTCAAAAAGAGATGATCAAATCACTGAGTGAAACGGAGTATCAAAAATAAATGTGAAAAACAAGTTGGTGAAGGAGAAGGTATCTCAATAAAGACTGAGTTCAGCCCCTCAGTGAAATTTCAAGTATTAAAAAACAAATAAGACACATTATTCTACACAACCCAGGCAGACGAAATTTTTTTTTTGATGATGTTTGCTACGGTTCGGCTGAGATAATACCGACGTTATCTGTCCTCGGGCATGATGGCTGTTGCCAGATTATTTCCAAGGCTAATTTTAATGCGACAAATATACACTCTGAAGAGGCCAGATGAAAATCATTAATTGAAGCCTTCACAGGGACAGTATCATACCGCATCTATAACTGGAGACATGTCAATTGTCATCAATAGAAACATTCCTAGCAACAACAATCCCCGGGGATATCCGGCCCCATTGAATCTGTCATTAGTTTCAAGATGGCGGGAAATGCCGATGAACGACAGCATCCGATACTGTTGATCAATATGAACGCTTGTGCACTTGGACTTGGTGAAAGTTCATCGTTTTGTTCCGCCGCAAAGTGATAAGAAGTGGATTTTTTTTCTTAGGAATTTGTACATACAGTAGACTCTCGTTATAGTCGCACTCACGGGGCTGTAGGGGCAGTCGATTCTGAGAATGGGACTGTATTTCTCTTCCCCCACCAGGCGCTCACGGTAAGCCTAAATTCCGGGAATCGGGAGCGATAAGAAAATAAATTTTACTCCAATTATTTTTCTCTTCAATTTGCATTGAACATTTTTATTAAATATAAAAATTATTTTCATTAAACACTTTTATTAAATTAACAAAATGAATTGCGTTGAACACTTTTAGTAAATTAATGAAATGAATAG